ATACTGTTACTCACAAGACGGTAAATATACAAAAACGATGGTAAGTGGTGATCGATTTCGATTGGACACTCCAATCATCATCAGACCCAATAGGCGAATGTGAGGCGGATGATGATTGGAGTGTCCAATCGAAATCGATCACCACTTACCATCGTTTTTGTATATTTACCGTCTTGTGAGTAACAGTATAAGCGTAAATATATGTTTTAAGTGTTATAAGACGTTTCTTTTATTTACTTTCCGTAAATTTAATAACACATACAATGCTGATCAAGAAGTTACTAAATTAATACTAAAACTAAATTGATACTAAAACCATTAAACATCACTCTACAAGATTAAAAAAATAAAGCCTTGGATTACCGTAGATCTCATTAAACTAATTCGTAAACGAGACAAGCTAAGTAAAAAGATCAAAACCCAACCGTTTTATAAAGGGTGTCCCAATTAATACTAAAATACTAAAACTGTGTGAAAAAAAAGTGTGTGAAAAAGTTATGGCAAATTTTGTCAAGAGATGTCGGGCCTGTCAGTATTCAGCAGGTTGGCACTTACAAGACATAATACTCAATTACTAATCGGAGATACTATGCTTTAAGATTCATGTTTCATATTGTAAATTTAGCATCAAAATATATGGTTTGTTAACATTTCAAATCCGGCGTTTTAGCACTTACAAGACATAATACTCAATTACTAATCGGAGATACTATGCTTTAAGATTCATGTTTCATATTGTAAATTTAGCATCAAAATATATGGTTTGTTAACATTTCAAATCCGGCGTTTTAGCACTTACAAGACATAATACTCAATTACTAATCGGAGATGCTATGCTTTAAGATTCATGTTTCATATTGTAAATTTAGCATCAAAATATATGGTTTGTTAACATTTCAAGCCGGACACTCCGGCTTTGACTTGGACGCCGGATTTGAAATGTTAACAAACCATATATTTTGATGCTAAATTTACAATATGAAGAATGGAACCAGAATGGAACTGAGCCAATTTATTCGAACTTAGAAATCAATCTTCGGACAGATGGATCATTTGGTGCATTGTCCCGGCCGTAAATAGCGCACAGCTTCCGTACTTGTAGTGCACTTTATCTATGACCAAGCGTTGATCCGTCGTGTAGCGATTCATGACTACAAATGGGACCTAATACTGATAACATCGCTTTGCGAATTTCTATTGAAATACAGATAAGGATAAGACGCTCCTCAAATCCGGCGCTCTTACTGGGACACCCTTTATATTACTAACAGATAGATACAGGGCCCTGCGCCTATCTTTAAATCAAAACATCAAAATCGCAAAGAAAAATTATTATAGGGGTAAAATTTCAGAATCTAACAGGGAACCAAAAGTATTTTGGGGCATAGTTAGTGAAATATCGGGCAGAAATGGCTCTAAGGACCATTTTCCATTTGAAAAAGTTTAAAACCGGGTTCTTCGAACAATGCGAACATGAAGACTAAAATAGCAAACGATTTCAATAAGATTTTTACATCAGTTGGTTCTAAATTGGCCAACTCAATCAATTCAGCTGGGGCTCCAGTCGTAAACGAAGCTGACTTCTCACTCGACACGAATTTTACATTCAACACGGTCACACACGCTGACATAGAACGTCACGTCCAGTCCAGGGTCTGCGCCTGGCCATGATGGTATCTCGGCCTTTGTTTTTAAAGAAAACATCCACACTCTATGTGCTCCTCTTCTGCACATTGTCAATCTTAGCCTGACATCTAGTATATTTCCAAAGGAGCTGAAATTGGCCAAGATCATTCCAATGCAAAAATCCAATGATTGCACAGACATGAATAACTATCGTCCGATTTCTTTGTTAAGTGTAATTGCTAAGCTATTAGAGAAAATCGCTAAAGACCAACTTGTTTTTTACCTCCACCAGTGCAATATTTTAAGTGAAAATCAGTATGGTTTCAGGAGTGACAAAAACATATCTGATGCTTTATTTGATATTAATAAATGCATTAACGAGGCAATTTATGGCAACAAACGAAGTATGTTAATATTTTTAGACTTGAAAAAAGCTTTTGACTCAGTAGACAGATGTCGATTGTTGCGTAAACTTGAGCTTATCGGGGTGCGCGGCACCTCGCTCGCTTGGTTCAGCAGCTACCTCTCTGATAGGCCTCAAACTGTTGCACTTTGTGAAGTGTCAAGCGATGTTTTGCCAGTGGAGTATGGTGTGGTCCAGGGTTCGACCCTTGGTCCTGTTTTATTCCTCATTTATATGAATAATATTTCTAAAATTCAAACAGATGGGAAATTAACATTATATTTGCTGATGATACTCTAATATTTGTAACCAGAGCATCCTGGAGATTAAAATAAGGCAGAATCAGACCTCTGTTTGCTAAAAAAATGGCTTGACCAAAATGTATTATCTCTTAATATATCTAAAACAAAATGTATGCCAATTTCATTCAATTCAATTCAATTCAATTACGCAAGGTAACCGAATACAAACTTGATAACCTAACTATTCATGTCTGTGGAAGCCAACTCTTGTTCTTGTAGCAAAATTGAAAAAGTTGATTCATACAAATATCTTGGTATTGTTTTTGATTCAAAGATGAATTGGTCGAAACTCGGAACATGTTGAATATCTAAAAAAAAAAAAAAAAAATTACGTAAATATATTTATGCATTTAGGCAACTTAGTGATATTCTCGAAGAGCAAGAAATTAAAATAGCATACTTTGCATATGTTTATTCATTGTTGTCTTTTGGAATTATTGCTTTTGGTGGTGCTTACAAAACTATCTTGCAACCTGTTTTTGTAGTGCAAAAAACAATAATTAAAGTTGCTTTTAAAAAACACTTTAGATATAATTGGGAGTTTTGACAGTCAGACAGTTATTTTTAAAATTTATTTTAGTTCACATGTACAAAAACTTTGATGATATTTTTGTAAAAATTACTCATCCTCACAATACGCGCTTTTCTCGAAATGTGTGAATAAATGTTCCACAAACTTTAAAAACATTTTCACATACGAATAGCTTTCACTTAACCTAAATCATTTGTAACATGTGTAACAGATATCAAAATGTCAACATTCTAAATTCACCCTCTCTCTCTCTATTTAAGAAGCATGTTGTAGGGTGGCTTGTAGGACTGAGTTCAGAGAGGATACCGAGGCCGTTTATCGCGTTGGGCCGACCTGGCCGTTGACCCTTACACTCCACTACACAATCACTTAGGGCCATGTCATACGAGCGCTATTGCCGTTGCGCAGATGCCGTCGAGATAGCGCAGGAAAAAGTACATGTCATACGTGACGGCAAATGCGTCGCGTTGATGCCGTCCCGCCAACGCCAGGTACCTGTCATACGTACTACGTAGCGTCTTCAGGGCGCATTTGCCGTCGCGGCAAAGATGGACACCATCCAGTTAGGTTGTATCAGCTTTTTGCACAGTTTAGATACATATGAAGAGTATCATTTTAATCAAAGGAACAGCATTATTTTTATTAAATATAAAACAAGTAAAACTGATTTCCACATCTGATTCCAGTTTTCGTGCATGGCCTCCCAATCCTCGTTCCAGCACTGTGCCTTCAGTTGCCTGTTGCTGTAATCACTCGACTTTACATCGTACAGAGGTGGCAGTTTTTCAACTAAATAAATACATTTTTCCGTATTGAACATCGTATCAAATATCATAATGACCACTTCAAAGGTGTTCCAGTAGTTGTTCTGTCAGTGCTCACGCGGCAAATGCGTACCGCTGGCGCTAGCGCTCGTATGACAGGGTCCCGCGTTACGTGCGCCGCGTTGCTAACGCGACCGTCCGCGTTGGCAGCGCTCAGCGTCCGGCTAACGCGGAACTGACGACGGCATTAGCGTCCGTATGACATGCTCCATAAGAACCCCATTGCCGGGTTGGAGCGACTTTAACGCGACGGCATCTACGCGACGGCAATAGCGCTCGTATGACATGGCCCTTACACACCATCTTCACTGACTGACTCACCACACTTCACCTCTCCTCTTCAATCTTCACCAGATTTTGATAAATTACCCCAGTTTGCACAAAGAGTTTTTTATCGTCAATTCAATTCCATAACACTAAAAATTCAGTTTCAAGCAAGACAAATATAAAAATTTTAAATTATACTATCTTTTTTGTTTTCCTATACATTTTTTACCTCCCATTTAAATTAACCGTTTCGCAACTCAATTTTTATTTTGTTATCTAGTTATTTAAGTAAAGAAAAAAATACAATGTATTCATATGTATCTAATTAATGGGAAATAAAATATTATTTAATTTCATTTCATGAAACAAATATTAATGATTCATGTAATGTTTGGACACAACAACTAATATAATAAACAACCCAACAAGCAACCATATTCAGTAACCTTACACCACACCAGCTTTAGCGGTCCAGTACGGCGCATTGTGGGGGGTTTTGTTCTCAGGGAAGGTCTCTAGTGCGGCCATATCTCTGGAGTTTTGGTCCTCCAGAAAACATCTAGTGAGAGTTATAAGCCAATCATCGGCCTCAGGTAAGAGGCACGACTCTCGGCTTTTCAAACAATGGGTAAAAGAAAAGATACAACTGCGGATTGCGGAGAAGAAAGCAAATTGGGGTGGTCATATACCAGGGGCCCATTTCATAATAAAGTACAAACTAATATTATTAGTAAATCAGCTGATCGCCCAATGCAAATCTTATGGAAATTACAAGTTACAAGTTGTAACTTGTAACTCGTAGTTTATTATGAAATGGGCCCCAGCTTGTACAAAATCACAGCGAGAGCTGGACATTCAACTTAGGAGACACCTAGCGGCAGTTAAACGAACTGTTACGAACGTTAATGTTAGTGACACCTGGTAGATAGCGCCCCAGCGCCAGTTCGAGTTCGAGTTCACGTTCACAGTTGTTCACCATCACCATCACCTCACCAATCAGTCACCTATTCACCATCCAATCCACTCATCCAGATCCAGCGTTCCAGCTTGTGCTTGAGCTTGGAGCTTCCAGCTTTTGAAATTGATTCACCAGCACCAGGCTAATATGAATCAAAATTATGGAAGTTTTATCATTCCTCAAGCTAGAGGTCGAAAGAGAAAAACAAATCCAGAAGAATGGGCAAAAATAAGAAGAAAAGAGTAAGGTAAGACGTTTTACTGTTTTGATACTAGTTTTATTAAAAACGTGTCTTCATAAAATGTTGGAGCAAGGGCTTAGGCCTATGTTGATTCAAACAGTCAAACCAATATTACTGATAAGTTGAACCTAAACAGGGTACAGTTTCTTAACTGGGCTATGCTAATATCGATTGAAACTAGGCCTATCGAATTGAAAATATTGATTAATAATCGGAGGCCTCAAGAGAATCCTCAAGAGACGGCCGGAGAATTCCATAGTACCCCCACTACCCATTCTGTGTACAATCTAATAAAACGGAAATAGACCTCAATTTTATTAAGAATGTTTAAACCTTTTTTAACAATATAACACATGTTGTAACGTTTTCCAACACATTTTTATGATTTAAATGGGGGAAATACTTGAATGCATAACATAGCCTATAAAAAAAATATATAGCCTAAATAAAATCTTAAGTTAAGTCCAGCGTTCAGCGTACTAAGAATGTTCGGACGGACATCTAACGATGTTGAAACGATATTCCACAAAATTTTGTCATATGGAATTAAATTTTATCTTACTTGTATGTACAACATTATTTTAAAATCTAAACATTTAACCCTCCGAGTGTCATTTGTCGCTGCAGCGACACATAACACACCTTGTGTAGTGTTTTGTGTCGCTGCAGCGACTCACAAACACTGTTTACGGCGAAGGCTGTATGACTGACGAAATCGTATTGAACTGGATCGAGTTAGGTATAGTTTTATTTTACAAATTCAGAGCTTTCTCCGGAGGTCTGTCTCTAAGCGCTATTCATTTTAGTTCCGAAAATATTGTAGCAGACAGCTGACGTGCGTATTTGTAAACAGCTTGCTTAACCTCGGACCGATGACTGATGTGTTTTAAGTTTGTACGTTTATCATTGTTTTAGTGTTAAAAATCAAAGTAGTGATATACGTGGTGCATTCTAAGAAGATTTAAGTGATTTTGAAGGGTTGGTTGATGATCCTGAAGAAGTAGGTAGTGATATTTATTTAAATTATCAGCCAGATTCCTAGCTATGGTTAGGCTATGCATTCTTAGCTAAACGCTCTGTACTGAAATCTGTTTTTTGCCCATAACTTATTTATTTGCAAATCTACTTCCTTATATTATTATATATTTGTAATCCTCATAAAATTTAGAACAAAGTGGCTATTTTCAAATCTTTATAGGCCTATAATTTATACAATTTCATTGAGCGCAAACTTATTTTTTTTTGAAAATTTTCCAAAATATTTTTTTTACCTAAAACATTTTTTTGAAACAAATGTTCCATAAGTTATGTTTTATGTATAATATTGAAGCCCATGATTTTCCAAACAAAATGGTATATAGAACAGTATAATTAACATTGTTTTCAAGCTTCTCAGATCCGTTTTAATAAAACCTTGCAAATGAGCAAAGAATAGGCAGACATTAAGGCCAAAACAAGGGACACTCGGAGGGATATAGGCTATTTATTATTTAGGTTAATTTTAGCTTAAAGTCCACCTAACGAATTGGCGCTCAGCGTACTAAGAATTTTTGGACAGACATCTAACAATGTTGTGACGATATTCCACAAAATTTTATCATTTTAAATTAAAGTATAGGCCTACACTTAAAATGTATAACATATTAAAAAATTATTAAAATTTAAACATATATATTTATTATTAAAATCCATATTTTTTAGCCCCTGAGCTGATCTTGTGACTAAATCAATAAATAGGGTTACCTTCATCAATCAGCTCATAACTTAGTAGTTGTAACGTGGTGTAACGATACGTACATACAACGTAGTTGTAACGATGTGTAATCAACAGGCCTGTTTAGTCAAAAACCCCCGTTTATGTTTATGTATGTGTACGGCGTGTGTGACAGTTTGTGTTTTTGTATATTAACGATGCCACTAAGGCTGAACGTCTGATGATGGCATGGATATGCTGAAACGGCCGTAACAATGTTACAACTACTATGAGCTGATTGACGAAGGTAACCCTATTTATTGATTTATATATATTTAGGTTAATTTTCGCTTAACCCTCCCAGTGTTACTTGACGAAAATTCGGCAAGCACCACACTTTGTATAGTGTTACTTGCCGATTTTTCGACAAGCAGACATCGTTTACGGCGAAGGCTCTATAACTGACTGAATCGGATTGAACTGGATCGAGTTAGGTATCGTTCTTTCCGTAATATTCTAAGCTTTCTGCAGAGGTCTGTCTCTAAGCGCTATTCATTTTAGTTCCGAAAATATTGTAGCAGACAGCTGACGTGCGTGTATTTGTAAACAGCTAGGTTCCCCCGGACCGATGACTGATGTGTTTTATTACGTTTATCATTGTTTTAGTGTTAAAAATCAAAAGTAGTGATATACGTGGTGCATTATAAGAAGATTTTAGTGGTTTTGAAGTGCTGGTTGATGATCCTGAAGAAGTAGGTAGTGATATTGATGTAAATTATCAGCCAGATTCCTAGCTATGGTTAGGCTATGCATTCTTAGCTAAACGCTATGTACTGAAATCAGTTTTTTGCCCATAACTTATTTATTTGCAAATATACTTCCTTATATTATTATATATTTGTAATCCTCATAAAATTTAGAACAAAGTGGCTATTTTCAAATATTTATAGGCCTATAATTTATACAATTTCATTGAGCGCGAACTTATTTTTTTTTTGAAAATTTTCGAAATTATATTTTTTTTACCTAAAAAATTTTTTTTTTGAAAAAATGTTCCTTTATTTTATATATAATATTGAAGCCCATGATTTTCCAAACAAAATGGTATATAGAACATTAGAATTAACATCGTTTTAAGCTTCTCAGATCCGTTTTAATAAAACCTTGCAAATGCGCCAAAAATAGGTGGACATTAAGGCCTAAACTATGGACACTTGGAGGGTTAAAGTCCAGCTAACAAATTGGCGCTCAGCGTACTAAGAATGTTCGGACAGACATCGAACTATGTTGCGACGATATTCCACAACATTTTATTATTTTAAATTAAAGTATACACTTGAATGTATAACATATCAAATAATCATTAAAATCTAAACATAGCCTATATATTTAGGTTAATTTTCGCTTATAGTGATAACGAAAAACGGGAGTGCCGATGGAGACCTGAGGGGGTGCGTGCGTTTGAAGGGACTTGACCTGGTCTCCATCGGCACTCCAGTTTTGCTAGCACTGTAAAGTCCAGCTAACGAATTGGCGCTCAGCGTACTAAGAATGTTCGGGCAACCATATACTGTAACTATGTTGTGAAGATATTCCACAAAATGTTATCGTTTTAAATTAAAGTCTATACTTGTATGTACAACATATTAAACAATCATTAAAATCTAAACATATATATATTTAGGTTAATTTGAGCCTAAAGTCCAGCTAACGAGCTTGTTCTCAGCGTACTAAGAAATGTTCGGTCAAACCATATAACTATGTTGTGAAAATATTCCACAAAATTTTATCGTTTTAAATTAAAGTATACACTTAAATGTAGCCTATAACATAGTAAAAAATCATTAGAATCTAAACATATATATTTAGGTTAATTTGAGCCTAAAGTCCAGCTAACGAGCTTGTTCTCAGCGTACTAAGAATGTTCGGACAACCATCAAACTATGTTGTAACGATATTCCACAAAATTTCATCGTTTTAAATTAAAGTATAGACTTAAATGTATAACATATTAAAAAATCATTAAAATCTAAACATATATATTTAGGTAAATTTTTGCTTAAAGTCCAGCTAACGAATTTTAAATTAAAGTAGGTATACACTTTAACATTTATACATTTAACAAAACATTCTATCATATCAAACCAATAGGCCTATGAAGCATATTTTGAAGGTCTTACAATGCTGTTTGAAGAATATACTTTTAAAAATAAACACTAAAAAAAAATTATTTTTTCACAAAAGCACTCCCACGAATACTAAGTACGATTTTAGTCTTAAAGTTACCTTCAGGAAGGTTACCCTGGTCAGAATTTTCCGTAATGACTATGCGTATCCTAAAAAGATGTAGCCTTACTTAAAACAACATACAAGATAGCTGCTCATGACTGAAATTGGTCTGGGTAAGAACATTGCTGATCTTTTATCTGAGTTCGCGACTCGCGACTGTCGTTGTGCATAAAACCGGCCTTTAAGCCTATTACGCGCCACTGTTCTGTAGCTGCGGTTGTTATCATTACGCCTCCTGTCTATGTTTCGTTGTCGTCGCGTCGGAGACTTTTAAAAGAAAAAAAAAAACAACAAATAAACAAATTATAGCTACACAAAACAACGATAAATGCACACATTTAAGTTACAAACATGCTAACATGATCCGTCATAGCGACACAAAACAACGATAAAAACACAAATTTAACCCTCCGAGTGTTATTTGTCGCTGCAGCGACACATAACACACTTTGTGTAGTGTTTTGTGTCGCTGCAGCGACTCACAAACACTGTTTACGGCGAAGGCTCTATGACTGACAAAATCGGATTGAACTGGATCGAGTTAGGTATCGTTTTATTTGACAGATTCAGAGCTTTCTCCGGAGGTCTGTCTCTAAGCGCTATTCATTTTAGTTCCAAAAATATTGTAGCAGACAGCTGACGTGCGTATTTGTAAACAGCTTTGTTAACCTCGGACCGATGACTGATGTGTTTTATTACGTTTATCATTGTTTTAGTGTTAAAAATCAAAATTAGATATATACGTGGTGCATTATAAGAAGATTTAAGTGATTTTGAAGGGCTGGTTGATGATCCTGAAGAAGTAGGTAGTGATATTGATGTAAATTATCAGCCAGATTCCTAGCTATGGTTAGGCTATGCATTCTTAGCTAAACGCTATGTACTGAAATCTATTTTTTGCCCATAACTTATTTATTTGCAAATCTACTTCCTTATATTATTATATATTTGTAATCCTCATAAAATTTAGAACAAAGTGGCTATTTTAAAATATTTATAGGCCTATAATTTATACAATTTCATTGAGTGCGAACTTATTTTTTTTTTTTAATTTTCCAAAATATTTTTTTTTACCTAACAATTTTTTTTTTAAACAAATGTTCCTTATGTTCTATGTATAATATTGAAGCCCATGATTTTCCAAACAAAATGGTATATAGAACAGTATAATTAACATTGTTTTCAAGCTTCTCAGATCCGTTTTAATAAAACCTTGCAAATGAGCAAAAAATAGGCAGACCTTAGGGCCAAAACAAGGGACACTCGGAGGGTTAAGATACAACCATACTAACACGATCCGTCAAGGGGGTTATGTTTACACAAGAAATGTTACACAAGAGGGGGTAAAACATATAGTGTAAAATATAAATGAATGTGAACTAAGGTTACTAATTGGATGTCCTTTGCTTGCAGACATTTTCAACAATCACGTCGATGGAATCATCCGGATACTCCTTACACTGGACCATTCAATACCTAGAAGGGGGGTTAGGGGTGGCCGGGGAAGGGCAGAGGTAGGAGGTTGGAGAGGAAGAGGTGGAAGGGGAAGAGGGGGAAGGGGAAGAGGAAGAGGAGGAAGAGGTGGTGGGGGACCAAATAACGGGAGAGTCGACAGACTAGAAGAAGTTAACCGGTAAATTAATCTTTTAAAATTTTTATGTAACACTTATTTATTTACCCATAAATGCTAGAATTGCAACTAAAATATTAACAGCAATTGCATTAACTGTACAACATGATCAGAATTAAGGAACATCTTATCTTATGACAATAATTGTTCTACATAAGGATAATATGAGAGCTTTAAAAATCACTGGGGCAGAACCCAAGAAACTTTTTCAAAAATTTTTAAGGTGTACATTTGATAAACTAAATTTAAACTACATTTTGAACATTCTTATATAAGTCAAATACAGTTCATCGTATATATATTTCCATTAGTATTAGCATAGACTAACCAACTCAAGTAGACTTCTCATCCCATTGTAAATTTTGAAGCACGTTTTTCGTGTCTAGTTCATGTACGGTGACACTGGGCGCTATTGTCGATGAAATTTTGTTTCTATTATTTTAGGGTTAATTTCTTGATTTGTGCTTTACTGTTTGGTTATATAACTAGGGGACAAGTTATTGTTTATGATTAGATCGTATTATTTGGTTAAACGAGGTTTTAAATGGCTGTAATAACGGAAAACAAATTGTAAACAAAACACGACCTCTACAGAAAAACGGACAGAACTAACAATAAAATTGGCTTCAGCTGCTCCATAAGGATGGGAAATCTACTAAGGGAGTATGTTTTATCTATGGTATTAGCCTACTTTTTCTGATTGTAGGGATAGAATTGATGACTCTGAAGAAGGAATTAGAGTAGAAACCCGTATCCCCCTACTCCGGAAAGAAGATCTTGTAAGATATCTTGTAAGAAAATGTATTTAGTTTTATGTATAAAAGTTAATAGTACATTATATGTGTTGTTAATCTAAAATATGTGTGTTGTTCATCTAAATTGTTTTCCTTAAATAATATAAGTAGCAGTATTATTTTTAATTAATAATCGAAAGGTTTACAACTTAGGTTAATTATGCTTTAAAAAGTTTTGAGTACTTGTAGGGTGGAGGCGTTAGCTAGACTTCAAGGTCAAATTAACCTAAATATATATATTTATTTTTCTTAATTTTTTTATATGTTATGTACACAAGCATATACTAATATTGTAAACAATAAAAAGTTGCGCAATATGTTTAAAACTTAGTCTTATGATGCTTTAAAAACTTTGAGTACATGTAGTGTGGAGGCGTTTACTAGAGTTCAAGGGCAATTAACCTAAATATATATATTTATTTTTTCCTAATTTTTTTATATGTTGTGCACACAAGTATATACTAATATTTCAAACAATAAAAACCTGCGCAATATGTTTACAACTTAGTCTTATGATGCTTTAAAAATCTTTGAGGTCTTGTACTGTGAAGGCGTTAGCTAGACTTCAAGGTCAAATTAACCTTAATATATATATTTATTTTTTCCTATTTTTTATATTTTGTACACACAAGTATATACTAATATTTCAAACAATAAAAAGCTGCGCAATATGTTTACAACTTGGTCTTATGATGCTTTAAAAACTTTGAGTACATGTAGCATGGAGGCGTTAGCTAGACTTCAAGGGCAAATTAACCTAAATATATATATATATATATATATAAATTTTTTTTCTAATTTTTGTATATGTTGTACACAAGTATCTATACTTATAAAAGGAAAAGCCTTCACTGACTCAACATTCTTAGTACGCTGAGAACAAGCTTGTTAGCTGGACTTCAGGCTAAAATTAACCTAAATATATATGTTTAGATTTTAATGATGTTTTAATATGTTGTACATGCAAGTATAGACTTTAATTTAAAACTAAAAAAAATTTGTGGAATAATGTTACAACATAGTTAGATGTTTGTCCGAACATTCTTAGTACGCTGAGAACAAGCTCATTAGCTGGACTTCAAGCTAAAATTAACCTAAATATATATGTTTAGATTCCAATGATTTTTTAATATGTTATACATTCAAGTGTATACTTTAATTTAAAACGATAAAATTTTGTGGAATATCGTCACAACATAGTTATATGTCTGTCCGAACATACTTAGTAATCTGAAAACAAGTTCGTTAGCTGGACTTTAGGCTAAAATTAACCTAAATATATATGTTTAGATTTTAATGATTTTTTAATATGTTGTACATACAAGTATAGACTTTAATTTAAAATGATAAAATTTTGTGGAATAATGTTACAACATTGTTAGATGTTAGTCCGAACATTCTTAGTACGCTGAGAACAAATTTGTTAGCTGGACTTTAGGCTCAAATTAACTTAAATATATATATTTGGATTTTAATAATTCTTTAATATGTTGTACATATCCATGTATGTACTTTAATTTAAAACGATAATATTTGGTGGAATATCGTTTCAACATAGTTTTAAGTACGTCCAAACACTCCTAGTACTCTGAGAACATATATATATGTTAAATACAGGGTGTCCGGTCATAAGTGTTAAATAAAATTTTGCATCAAACTACATGGTAATGGTGACATAATGACGCACATTTGAGGTTCCCAACCTCAACCGATAGGGAATAACAAATAAATTAAGATTTTTCAAAAATTATTGTAGTTGTTATGAAAAAAGTTATATTACTCTGTTAAAAATGCACTAATTGTTAATTTAAATGTCATTTTCAGAATCCTCACAAAATTTTAAATATATATAACACATAATTGTTGGGGTACGGAAAAATATTCTACTTAAATTTCTTCGTTAAACAATTATTTTTAATACCGACGAAAATTTAAATAACATTCAGCGATTTATTTCTCGGTTACCAAGATCCGCTGAGTTTAACAAATATTACTAAAAACTTCCTTATTTAAAGGGCTTTACAATGGTGTATAATAGTTTTTACCAAGTTTCAAATTTCCTAATGTAATTCAATCATTGTTGTGAAAAAACATGGTAGGGCAAAGAAAAGCTATTGTGAAGAATACTACATTTAACTGCAGGCAACGAATAATTTGTATTTCTTTCTCGCATGCAACGCTTTTTTATAACTATAAAGCTAAGAAAAGAAACATATAGTAGCAAAATGTGTTTGTGATCAAGTTACGGTTCGTATATTTTTCATATTTCAGATAAGATTGCAATTAACTCGCGGAAGTTCGGTTGTGGCTATACCAAAACTACCCGACATGGATTGGACGTGGAGGAAGTGTGACATGGCCTCCTCGATCTCCAGACTTGAGCCCATTAGATTTTTTTGTTTGGGGTTACATATAAAGTCTAGTTTACTCGACTGTTGTAAACTCTGAAGTTGAGTTACAGTAGATAATCTTTGAGGGTGCTGGGAAAGAAAGGATAAAATTGACGTATGAGGTCACAGTTGGCGCGATTCATAAGCGAGCTAGGGTTGCTTGCGGGAATACGGAGGGCACTTTACACCAAAACTGTGATTCCACGTTAAGTTGTGCTTCGGACGAAGTATGTCATAGATTTGATTTGTATTGTGTGTTTTTACTAATGTATTTTTTTTTTTTTTTTTATAAAAAATTTAGAAAGTCTAAGAAAAACTCATTAGTTTGATAAAAGGGTAGTCTGGTCAATCATAAATTACACAAACCCTCATCACCAGTGGTCCGCTCATAAAATAGTAAGCAAAATGCATTATTTTTTTACAATATCTGTTTTGGTTTAACCGTGATTTTTCACAATAGTACTTAAAATTTACCATAGATTTGACAGTAGATAATTGTAGTTATACATCATTGTAAAGCCCTTTAAATAAGGAAGTTTTTAGTAGTATTTGTTTAACTCATCGGATCTCGGTAACCGAGAAATAAATTCCTGAATGTTATTTAAATTTTCGTCGATATTAAAAATAATTGTTTAACGAAGAAATTTAAATAGAATATTTTTCCGTACCCCAACGATTATGTGTTATATATATTTAAAATTTTGTGAGGATTCTGAAAATGACATTTAAATTAACAATTAGTGTATTTTTAACAGAGTTATATAACCTTTTTCATAACAACTACAATAATTTTTGGAAAACCTTAACCCTCCGAGTGTCACGTGTTTTGGCCTTAATGTCAGCCTATTTTTTGCTCATTTGCAAGGTTTTATTAAAACTGATCTGAGAAGCTTAAAAACAATGTTAATTATACTGTTCTATATACCATTTTGTTTGGAAAATCTTGGGCTTCAATATTATATATAAAACATAAGGAAGATTAAAAAAAAAAAAATTTTTTTAGGTAAAAAAATGTATAATTTCGAAAATTTTCAAAAAAAAATAAGTTTGCGCTCAATGAAATTGTATAAATTATAGGCCTATAAATATTTGAAAATAGCCACTTTGTTCTAAATTTTATGAGGATTACAAATCTATAATAATATAAGGAAGTAGATTTGCAAATAAAAAAGTTATGGGCAAAAAACAGATTTCAGTACATAGCGTTTAGCTAAGAATGCATAGCCCAACCATAGCTAGGAATCTGGCTGATAATTTACATCAATATCACTACCTACTTCTTCAGGATCATCAACCAGCACTTCAAAACCACTTAAATCTTCTTATAATGCACCACGTATATCACTACTTTTGATTTTTAACACTAAAACAATGATAAACGTAATAAAACACATCAGTCATCGGTCCGAGGGTAACCTAGCTGTTTACAAATACACGCACGTCAGCTCAGTCAGCTGTCTGCTACAATATTTTCGGAACTAAAATGAATAGTGCTTAGAGACAGACCTCTGCAGAAAGCTTAGAATATTACGGACAGAACGATACCTAACTCAATCCAGTACAGTCCGATTCAGTTAGTCATAGAGCCTTCGCCGTAAACAGTGTTCGCGAGTCGCTGCAGCGACGCACGACACTATACAAAGTGCGTTACGCGTCGCTGCAGCGACGCATGACACTCGGAGGGTTAATTTATTTGTTATTCCCTAACGGTTGAGGTTGGGAACCTCAAATGTGCGTCTTTATGTCACCATTACCATGTAGTTTAATGCAAAATTTTATTTAACACTTATGACCGGACACCCTGTATATATGTTAAAATATAATGTTTGGATTTATTTATACTTTTTGGTGCGTATATATGCTATATAAGAGTATTACCTATGCACAGTTATTAGTTTTAGTTCGGAAAACTATTAATTTTCCATAGAAGATAAATTTAAATGCGAGGTCTTTTTTTGTGCATCGACTGAACTGCTCAAACCTAGGCGGTATCTGATTGGTCTAGAGGGTGAAGAGGGGAAATCGTTGTGGGAGCGGGGAAAATGTAGGGTTGACAGCTGGCGATAGCTGTCTTCACGATCGTACCTAACATAACCAACCAAACTTGCTGATGGTGAAAAATCGCATGAAGGTTTACTAATCAAATCGATAGTTTCAATCGATATTAGCATAGCCCAGTTAAGAAACTGTACCCTTTTAAAGTATGTCTATTATAAAATTAAACTATCGTAACCTAACCTAACCAACCAAACTTGCTGATGGTGAAAAAATTGCATGAAGGTTTACTAATCGAATCGATAGTTTCAATCGATATTAGCATAGCCCAGGTAAGAAACTGTACCCCCTAAACAAATTAAATTCAACCTGTTGGTGAAATTTTACTGTTGAAAACAACGAATTTATGTATAGGCCTAAGCCATTTATTTGACATGTGTACGTACAAATGCTTTGTAGTAGTTAGTCTCGTTATCACTATTCAATAAACTACCAGTGTTTCTGGCATAGACTTACTAGAACTGATTATTCGTACCATATAGCCTAAAATAGTAACTTTTTTCCACATACTCTTCAAAGGGCAATCCAAGCCTTCCTGACTGTGGACACTCAACAAAAAGTTTTATTTAAATGCCAGTCATTGACCAAAAGGGACATTAACCATTTACATAAAATTTTT